AATACAGGGGGACGGAGGAAGTATTTATAAAACTAAACATTAAAAAATCATCATAAATAAAAATAAGATATAAAAAATAATATCAAAATAAAATATTTTTATTTCTAAAATAGAATTTCACAGTGATAATGTAATATTGAATATTGTATATATAAATTTCACAATACCTTTTGATAGTGTTGGCAATGATTAACACTAGAAATGTATTTTAACTCATATTCCCAAAAATAAAAACATGAAACTCCTATTTTGATATATTTTCAGTATTTCACTCTTCTTTTAGTCTTTTTTCTAATATTAATTAATAATATTATTTTCAAATAAAACATCTATAAATTGTACTCCCTCCGTCCCGCTATATTCGTCCACTTTTTTTGACTTTTGGAACTGTTCATCTAAGCACTTTGACTCATCAAATTCTTTCAATGTGTAACCCTAAATATAGTCATGTGTGACCTTGTTTTATTTGTCTTAACATATAGATTATTAATATATAATTTCTATAATTTTTTAATATACAAATTACAAGATAAAATGGATTAAAGAAGTATATTGGATGGTGTATAAAAATGAAAGTAGACAAATACTCTGGGACAGAGGTAGTAACTTTTAAAATGTTTCATTAATTAAAGATAAATTTATTTTGATTAGCAAAAAATATTATTTCTTAGTTTCAGTACGGAAGAACTAAAATAAAACTTACTCCATATAACAAAGAAAATACTTCGTACTATTGTATACAGCTCAGTGAAATATGGGGTTACGGTAAATTATAAGATTATTTTGTTCAAAAACACACAAAAAAACATTTCAAAAGATAAAATTATTTTTTATAATCTTAAGAATGAAATTTTTTTTGGTAGATCATAAAAATATGATACTCCGTATTATTTGAGATATTAGTCTGTCCAAGAATAGTTTTGGTCATAACATTAAGACTTAGAGGTTAGAAGTCAACAAAGTGGCATGGAAAGAAAAAATCTTGGATCTTTTTTCTTTTACTTTTACTAGACCCGATAAAATTTGACCGGACCCATTTTTACCCAAAATCCAGTCCGATATTAGGTAGGTTTTGAACATGATTTTTCTGATCTAAACCAAAATAACCCGAACCAGAGGACTCGATAAAATGTTGAGTCAAATCGGGTATGCCCCAATGGGTTGAGCACCTCAAAGCTTAGGAATTAAGATTTTATTTTTTTATTTATTACTCTTACATAGGCCTGGACTTGGTTGGCAATTACCCAAATACGGAGTACTTAATTGGTCCAACCTTTTTTTATGATTGCAATGACCATGTTATTTGAATGATTCTGATCTAATTTAGAAATAAATTCTGATCTGAATACAATAATATTTTGAAATTATTTCTAATTTGATTTCGATAAAAATAAGTAATAAGTAAAAAAATGAGTTAGAAAAAACACTTTATTGTATTCGGAACCAAAACACCAAAACTTGAGTACTATGTGTGTCGCATAGGAATCTTGTCTTTAAAGGGGAATATTTCGCAGAAAAAAATACAAAAATGCTAGAGGTACATTAAATGTTGTACTTCATTTATACTTCATCCATCTCCACCATACAAATGCAAGAGAGACAAAAAAAATTTAAAATGAAAAAAGAAATCAATGGTCATGACCAATGGTGTACAAATGGGATCCACCATTTGGTGTACCCCTAACAGTCCTCAAAAAAGTACTATGTATTATGTTGCCTCCAAATTCAAGTTGCCTATTACAGTTTATAATATTTGATTAAAATTATTTCATCAAAAAAGTAACAAAAATATACAAAAAGTGGTTAAAATAAAATCATATGAATAATTAACATGCAACATAAATTGATACATATGGAGAATATATATCATATGAATATGAGTTTTACCTATAAAGTAAAAGATTATTCCTATCGTCCGAATTTTTTTTCACATTTGACTTTTCATGGTATAAGATTGTAAGCTTTGATCTCGATATGTAGAATAAATACAATGTGTTACGGAGTGTGATAATATTAATAGATTTTTTTGAAACATAGTTTTGAAAATATCAAACCTATAAAATATAACTATGTATAAATACAAATATAAATGGTCAAAGTATAACATTAGAGAGTGTAAAAAGTCAAATGTGAAAAAAACTTTCTAGATGGAGGGAGTATAAGTGATGTAAATGTGATACAAAGTATAAACCAAGTTAGGTCATGTTATCTTCACCTAATCTGATTGACTTTGATCTGATTGGAATAAGTTTTGATTTAATCTGAATGTAATTATATTTAAAACTATATCTAATCTGATTTGGTCTAATCTAATTCTAATAAAAATTAGTATAAGTAAAAAAAATAAGTTAAGGAGAACATGGCCATAGTAGCTTAGTGTATAACTAGATTAATCCAAATTGGATATCACCATCAATGCAAAAATGAGAGCCAAACACATTACGAAATTAAAGGAGTGGGAGTTGACACAATCAATGAGAAATATAGACACATGCACTTGTACGTCTTGTAGCATGAGTGGAAGGGGTATTGGCTAGGTTGGTCGGGTTCGACTCCTAATAACAACGATACAAAACGACTATATGTAGCATGAGATTTGATTTTTGTTGGTATCAAGGTTTTTGTTAGTATCAAGGACAGGTAGGACAGATATCACTCCCTGTTGATCAAAACCGTTTGAACCATTGGCTATGCTATTTATGCACCACTCTTTTACACCAAGTTCAAAACAACAATGCAATAGTGTTGTTGTGAAAGATGATGTAGAAGATGATGTACAAAAAAATTGCTTTATCCTCCTACATGTTTATACAAATGGTTGAATAACATATAAAAACTGCAATAGTTCAGTGGTGTTCGCTTATGACCCATATTTTGTTCTACCTAAGAACGTATTATGGCAATTCATCAACGGAGAAACACTTGCCTTCGGACCCAAATAAATCAATTTATAAGCGCATGTCTTCGCTTATATGTACAAACAAATACAGATGCTAACACCATGTTTTGGGTACATGAGGTGTGAACTCCACCGACAACTACCGAGCTACAACACAAGTATGAGAAAGAATAAATAACCAAAAACCACCAATCATAATAATAAAAAAAAATTAAGGAGGGGAAATGCACCTTTCCATTCAATGACTGTGTTCCTCAACTAGCCTTTTTGCTTCGTTGCCTTCAGCACAATACGCCAACATTTTGGTTTGTATGAGCCAAATTTTGAGGGGGGGGGACAGAAACTCATTTGGAAGTTGTGGAATCCAATTTTTCGGTCACTTTTGGAATCCCCTTTGGTTTACTAGGCACTGTACAATCATCAATATCATCCTCAAGATCACTAAATGAGACTTCATCTCCAACAAGTACCGGACAAGAGTACCCTTCTAATTCTGGGGTGTCCTTTAGCCAGTCATCTTCCTCCCCATCATCATCATTGTCATAATCCGAAACAGGTACCTCATAAGATGAAGTAGTCACAACCACTTTCTCTACTTCCTTGCTCTCCAAGTCTTCTGCAATAACAGCTTTGTCTATGAACTGGATTTCGGGAGTAGTTTCAAGTGGATGCTTCTCAGTTTCAATATTAGTATGCGTCTCAGAGAAAGATGAAAAAGAGTCAGACTCTTCACCCAGAAAGTCAGTACTTTCTTTTGAATGACTTTTTTTAAACCCAAACCAATCCGACTCTGGCTTTGTTTTCTTTTGCAGCTCTTTTATCCACATTGCTCTAGCTTGCACAAGCTGGAAGGGTTATGACTAGATCAGTCTTAAAAATGGCAAGTCATTATTTTTTATCACTTTTTTACATTTTTTATGTTTTTTAAACATAAAAAAAATATTTTTATTATTTATTTTATTAAAAAATTATTCTACTTTCTTGTACCTTTTTTTCATAAGAAATTTTAAAAAAAATATTTTTTTTAAAAAGAAAAAAAGTAGTATGAAGTGCCACACTCATGCCTCACCAAGCAAGGCATTTTGGCCTTGCCATGCCATGATATGAGTGGAAGAAGTTGATGTGGCAGTGCAAGTCATCCCTCTTCCTTGCCATTGCATATGCTCTAAACACCCTCTTAAAATTAGTTTATACTCCGTATATGCATTAGCTATGTGGAATCTAGTATCAGATTTATTAACTAACCTGTGGTGAAGACAAAAGCTCCGCATCATGTTTATTAAGTCTCGAGTGAAGAAGAACGAAGTACACCATCCAGAAGTAACCTTTGCTCATATGAGCAGGGCACAGCTCAACCCTTAGAGCAGCTAGCCGAGGCGCTAAGCATTCAATTGCGAATGCATGCTTGAGCTGGGTATCACATATCTCAAAATCTAAGAAAGCCAAAGCATGCATTATGACCAAGGATGAAAATTTAACATTCTGGGGCTATGTTTGGTGTGAAAGAAGTTAGGTTATGAGCTTCAAATTACACATTGGTTTTTTAAATGGAACTCTAAAATAAGCCTTGCTCAGTAAGCGCAGCATTACCAGATCTTGTAAGTTATCATCGAGCATATTCCAAAGGGTTCTTTTAGCAACTTCTAAAATAAATGCTTGAGCCTTTCTTTTATGGTTTCACGGCTGATGCCATAGTAATTAGTAAAAGATATTTTTTTAATGAATCACTTTTGTGAGATTTTGCCATTTTGTATTTCAAATGTTCAATACGAGTACTTTTTCAGAATACTATTATTGAAATTGAATAACTTTATAGGTATAAGCCATAAGCTCCCTATTATGGCTATAGGAGTATTAACTTATTTTTCTAAACATAACCCTCTAAGGTTTTACCTCAAAAAAACCCTCCATGGTTTAAAATTGGAACTTATAACTATAAGCTTGTAAACTCCAAGACTTCTATTCTAGGTCTGCAATAGTGTTGTGGCATTGGCATATGGATATTACTTCTTAAAGAAGTTCCACAACAGAGTTCCCAACAATATTGTCTGAAACTATGTTTGGTTTATGGAATTCGATCAGAAAAGAAAATTAAGAGGTTTTCTCTCTGCATTAGCAGATCTTGTAAGTTAAAATCGAGCATATTCCAAAGGGTTCTTTTAGCAACTTCTAACATAAATGCTTGAGCCTTTCTTTTATGGTTTCACGGCTGATGCCATAGTAATTAGTAAAAGATATTTTTTTAATGAATCACTTTTGTGAGATTGTGCCATTTTGTATTTCAAATTTTCAGTACAAGTATTTTTTCAGAACACTATTATTGAAATTGAATAACTTTATAGGTATAAGCTATAAGCTCCCTATTATGGCTATAGGAGTATTAACTTATTTTTCTAAACATAACCCTCTAAGGTCTTACCTCAAAAAAAACCCTATATGGTTTAAAATTGGAACTTATAACTATAAGCTTGTAAACTCCAAGACTTCTATTCTAGGTCTGCAATAGTGTTGTGGCATTGGCATATGGATATTACTTTTTAAAGAAGTTCCACAACAGAGTTCCCAACAATACTGTCTGAAACTATGTTTGGTTCGTGGAATTCGATCGGAAAAGAAAATTAAGAGGTTTTCTCTCTTCTTCCTTGCCAAAATGGAAGGAAAATCATTTTCCTTATTCTTAGTGCATTTTCTTCTCTTGCTTTCTTTTTCTTTCACTTTTTTTTATTTTCCTCTCAAACCAAACAAGAAAAACTGTTTTCTCTCATCATTTTCTTTTCTTTTCCCTTTCAAATTCCTTGAACCAAAAAAAGTGTAACTGTCCAACCAGGGACATTTCAAAGATGAAAGTCCCTCAAAGAATTTTTAAAGACAAAAATCCATCCCAAATGCCAACAAAGCATATGTGTTGTTCTTCTAGAAGTCACAAGTCATAACAGTTCTAAGACATTGACAGAGAGGGTAAAGCATTAGGAGTGCCTCTAAGAGAATGAATAAAGGATCAACAAGCACATGAAACTATGGAAGGCGTGCAACTTCAGGACAGTAGTTTGACCCACACACTAGTAACAATTACAAGTACAAAATAAAGACTCAATATTTCCACAACTTTGACCACATTGCATCAATTAAATCTTCCAAAAGAACTCGCTCTTTGGATGTAAAATCTATTTAAATGAAGGTGAATTTTAAAAACAAAGTGGTCTTACCATCAAATTCCTCATCTTCTGATAAGGGAAAATCAAGCCAAGTTTCAGGATGATGAGCTATATTCTGGGCAAAAGCCAAGGCCTCCTCTGTAACCCCAACAGCATTTCCAATCACATCCTCCTCCTCCTCATACTCCGTGAAGTTCTCACACTCCACGTTTTCCCCGTCCTCCCCTTCCTCAGATTCCCCACTCAATTCCGCACGATCATACGGCTCACTATGAACTCGATCGGACCCCAATTGATCCGAATTCGGGATCAGGAGAGTCGTCCTAGGAGGCGGAGGAGCTAGAAATGAAGCGACACCCCACAGCTGGCGACTTAGGGCTTCTCCTAATTCCGACAAGTCATTCTTGACGCCGCGGCCAGGATGATGGATGTGATCTAGAGAACAATCGTCGCCTTCATTCTCGCTCCGATCGTCCAAATCTACATCCTCGTAGGCGGCATAACCCTCCGCGTGCTGTTCTGGGGGTTCAGAGGTTGAAGCCCGATCCGAGACGCGGTGACTATGTTCTCCGACTTGATGTTCATCGTCTTCGAGGCGGAGAGAATTGGCAATGGAGCGCGCTAACCAGGACATGGCGGTTTGATTTTGATCGGGGATGGATGAAGAAGAGGAGAAAGGGAGAGGATGGGGAGGAGGAATTGGGGGCAAAATCGGGTCGCTCTTGAAAATTGAGAAACTGGGTTCAGGGAGGAGCTCCTAATGATTTTCATTCTTTACATTCATTCGGAATTACTGAATCCCAACCAACAAGATGTCTAAAAAAACATTTTAAATGGAGTATCAATTAGTAAAATATTCTCTTTTTTAGTTAACTTTATTCTCTCTCACCAATCTATTACGGAGTATTAAAGTCTTATTTACTTGATCTTAGTGATTGTCTGACTGAGTTGATAAAGATGACAGGACTCGTTCTTTTTTTGTTAAAAAAATTATACGGAGTAGTTAGAAGTAGAATGAGCATGGTACGGTGCAGTATTTAGTTTGTCTCAATACCTTACCAATTTTTTCGGTTCGATATGAGATTCTACGTTATATCAATTTCAATCTCAAAATAGCGGTGCGGTATAGTTTAAAATCGATTTCATTACAAATCAGGATGAAAAGATACGTGCCAAGTTTATATTTTAAAATGTAACAAAACTCTTTTACTTTTGAAAATCAAAAGTATATACGGAGTATTTAAATAAAAACATAAAAAATTGAAAAATCAATAATTAAATTCAAGAAATCCTAATTAAAACATAATTTATAAAACTTAGTTTATATTTCACAAACTAATTCAAGAAATCCTAATTAAATCCTAATCACAAAATTAGTTTAAATTCAAGAAATCCTAGTATATATTTGTGTGTGTGCATATATATATTAAAAAATATAAAGTAATAAATTAACCGCAAACTGATTATGGCAGCGGACCGAAATAGTATCGGTCTCTAGAGGTTCCAACTCATATTCTGAATTCTCCGCATTAGGAGGATTTGAGAACTATCAACACACAAAATTCACTAATTCTGAATATATTCAACAAAATACATGACCAATTTAAAAATACAAAATATCTGTGAGCAGTAATGTAAAAGTGTCCATTTGTTGAAGTAGTCATGTATTTCTCTTAAAATATAGTATAAAAAAGAAAAAGTTATAGCCTTAAGTTCTGCATACTGTATTTGTTAAGAATTAAACTATGCCACACCGAAGAGATAAGGAGAGAATAATCAATATAAGTTCAATCCAACACATTAGTACGAGGCGTTTGACAAACTCGTTTGCATTTGGCCAACGTGGCGAATAGTATACTAATGCGATGTTAGTTCAATCCTGCTCACTTATATGAAAGGATGTCCAAAAACAAATTGTGAGAACTTCACAAAAAAAAAAGAGACTAGTTTAGTATTGGGGTAAGACTATGCACAATCCCAAAAGTATTCACCTATTTTGAAGGCCAAATAAATACTCTCTCTGTCTCTAAACGATTTACACACTTCATTTTTCAAAAATTGCAGGAACTCTTATTTATTTGTATGTTTTTCAGTGACTATTGGATAAAGTAAAATATTCTTGTTACTTCTTATTTTATAAAACTTTAAATGTACTTTTTAAATATATATATATATATATATATATATACCAATATTTAAATAGAATGAATTGAAAAAATTTAAAATTTTACTTCATTTTGTGTAAAGTGTAAATCATTTGAGGGAATATATTAGTTCATTTTACTTATGTGCGAATTTACTTGTTTAAAGTATAGTTTGAGATTTAGAAAATAGTAGGGAGTACATGTTAGCTTTGTGTTCACGAGGGAGAGCAGCCTATATTAGCTTTTGTTCATGAGAGAAAGCACTCCCACCCTATCTATCTTTTCAACCTCAACTCTCTCTCTCTCTCTCTCACTTTAAAGTCTAAACACCTTTACCATCTACTATCTCTATCTTCTTTTTTTCAGTAATCGCACAACTTTAGCTATTTGGTCGCGGTCAAAGATCCTTTAAAAGGCATCGCCAACTACACTTATTTGTCCCTCTCAAAACAAAAGCCTACACTACCCTTATCTGTCCTTTTCCATCCAAATTATCTCTTCTTTCTTTTGGGCCTTTTTTCTCCAAAATTTTGCCACACTTCAAACTGCACCAAGATTGAAAAAAAATAAAATTGTATAGTTAGTGTTTTTGAAGGTGCCAAAAAAAGACTTCATTTTGCCAAAAGTACAACTTGTTTTAATTTTTCAAAGTGTAGAAACTTACCAAATTTCTTCTGAAACTTCATCAAAAAAAAATCTTGTGAAACAGCCAAATCAGGTGACTGGATACAGGTTTGAAAGACAGGTGGAATATATGAGAAAGACTCCAACTTACCAAAGTGATGTGTGTACCAAACTTCCCAAAAAGAACCAAATATTCTTTTAAAGAAATAAATGGTAAGAAATGGCTACTTGAACAAGCTTTCTGCTTAGGAGAAGAAGACAAGTGCAGCTCAAAGCCACAATTTTTATATTAAAAATGGCAATGGAACCATGGAAGAGAAATAAAGAATCAACTGTACTTGTTGACTTTATACATATATTTAAAAAAAAAAGAAAAAGAAAAAAGAAACTGAAAAAAGAAACATACAAATAACAATCTTTACAATTACAAAGGCTGCAGCAGCATGCACACGAACAACACCATGTTCACACTTGTGTGGATATGAAAATGGTTTCTGTGTAGTTTAGACTGCAGAGCTTCAGAAGTTCTGCAGATTGCTGCTTCAACTCTGGGCTGCAACCGCTCTGAATGACGAGGAGGAGCTTTGCCGCTAGCCCTGCCTCCACTGCAACCGACGCGCATTCCTCAGGGGAGATCTTACAGACCGCCCAAAGGACCGACAACGCCAGCCGAGTACTGCTCTCTGGGACATTCATCACCAGCCTCACAACATTGGGGATGGTCCTATGGCAATCCTTTAGGGCCAACGCGCCCTCTTGGAGGGTCGAAAGAGCTTCTAGAACATGAAGGGCTAACTCCAAGCATTCCGCGTTCAAGTTGGGTAACGCGTCCACCAACTGCGGGACGCCCCCGACGCTCACGATCGATCCCCTCGCGGGTGGGTACGAAGACGACATCACCTTGAGTAACCGGAGACCAGCCCGGACCACTTCGGGCTGGTTCTTGAACTTAACCAATCTCAACAACCCAACCAAAAGACTCAAACTTGTCGCGATGTGCGACTCGGGATCGCACCCTTGTTCCCTTATCAACATATCGAGCAACTTCGTGCAATTGATCTTCGTCTCGATCGATCCCTCGTTCAACGTGTCCACCACTAGTGAAATCTTGCCCGGTTGAATCAAACACGCCTTTGTATCCGGGCCAAGATCCAATAGAACCAGAATCGCGATTGTCTCTGAAGCAACGGCGTGGGTGGTGAAGCCATCCAACATGGAGCTAATCAAAGTGGCTCCGCCGTTACTGACTACGGTTCGCTTTGCCAAGCCGTGGACAGTGACGACCTGCCTCAGCTCCTTCAAAGCCTGAACCTTGGCTTTACCCTTAGCCTTCTTCAAGGTCTCCAAGACCTCCAAGACTCTCCCCTCCACATCGCCGGATCTCTTTTTCAGAGCAGAATACTTCTGGGAAAACCAGCTGTGGATCAGGTGGCGTAAGGTGCTGTTTGGGACGATGGAATCGTCCCAAAGGTCTTGCATTGTGGTGGGACAAACAGGGCGACCCAAAGACAGCCATTTCATAATGTTGGACCTCTCATAGGTCTGACCCGTGCAAAGGGTCACCGGATCTTGCATCGGCTCTAAGGAAATTGGACAAATGAAGACTGAAGGGACATCAACTGAACCAATTTCTTGAATCATTTTCCTCAGACTAATGTTCTTCTCGCCGGTAGCAACCACCGCCGCCCCACCCCCACCCCCACCCAAAATCCCATCTTTAACAGCAGTCTCCAGATCCAGCACCTGCCCGCCCACCTCATCCCCCCTACCCATAAACATAGGCAATTTACAGACTTTCTTGAACACAATTTCAGGCCTAAAACCAGACGGTGGTGCAGAGTTTCTTTTAAATCTTGAAACAAAAAGACAGTCTTCCTCAACACACAATAGATATACATAACCCGGGCACAAATTGTGTGGCCCAAAAAAAGGGGGGAGGAGAAAGAATGAGGAGAGAGTTCGGCACTCTCTTTCACTTTCCCTGTAATTGAGCCACAATCTCCACCTCTGGAGGCATTATTCTTTTTTCTTTCTTTATTATTGGGCTCTTTTTCTCCCCTGGTCAAAAGAGATTCAACATCATTGTCCTGAACAAAGACCCACCGATGAAAATGAAATGCAAATCTTCCACTTTTCTTAAAAACCCAGTCTAATAATCACTGCCCCATCATTCCACAAGGTCCTAAAACCCGATAAAAGTGAGAGGGGCAACATAAAAAAATCAACAAGAACTTACCAAATCTTGACGAAAACGGCAGATTTTGGAATAGTAAATGGAAGAAAGAAGAAGAGAGAATTAAAGAGAGAGAGAGATGATGAAGAAGAAACATACCAAAACGTATGGAAGAAGAGAATCGAAGGGGGGCGATAGGAGAGATGACTTGTGAGATTTGCCTATCTATCCCATTGCGGCAATGGGGGCGGGCTACGAAGTGCTTTGAAAACCCTACGAGATGTGGGTTTCTACAACTATTTTCTTTTACCGTGACATTTGTATTGGAGTATTAATAATTATTTCATCCCTCTAAAAATATTCTTTCATTTGACTTTTCTTGGTCAGAAGATTATAAACTTTAACTCTAGCATGTGGAAAAATGCATTGTATTATGATATAAATTTAATATCAATATATTCCTATTATAAGGTGGTTTTCAAATATCAAATTTTTACAAAATATATCTATGTATAAATATAGATATTAATAGTCAAAGTGCAACATTGAAGATTGTGAAAAGTCAAATGGGAAGAACATTTCTCGACGGAGGAAGTAATAGTAATCCCCGTTCCTTTTGAATTTTTTAGTTTTACCATTTTAATCTACTACATTCGTTCGAAAATGTTCTTCACATTTAATTTTTCACGGTCTCTAATGTTGCACTTTGACCATTAATATTTCTATTTATGCATAAACTATGTTTCAATAGGAATATAATGGCATTAAATTTATATCATAAAAGAACATATTTTTTCAACATATATGAGTCCATGTTTATAAACTTTGATTAAGAAAAGTCAAGTGAGAAGAATATTTCCACACGAAAGGAATAGTATTATAACCATTTTTATTTTTATTTATAAATAGATATATATTACTCCATCAACCTCAAATTAAACAATATATTTGATATTTACATTGTCAAATTTTATCCATTTTTTTACCAAATTCTGTTAGTCGTTTGATAAAATTAAAATATAGTCATGTCACACCTTATTTTGAAGGCTTTTGATTTAGTTTTGAAATGTGTAGATTTTATTTTTTTAATTTTACCTCAATTCTTATGCGGAGTGTAAATTTAATCCAAAATAATTTTAATCAAATATTCTAAACCAAAAGAGGCACTTTGAAATGAGACACGCAGGGAATATAAAATTGTACAAGTAATATTTCAAAACTATGTAGGAAACGAAAGCATTGATTTATATCGCAATTCAATATTTATACATTTTTTCGTAATTTGAAATTAAAATTTGAAGACGTCGACTTTGAAAATAAAAATTGAGAAGATTAAAAAAGGATAAAATAAAAAATAAACAAAGAAAAAGTGTATTTGGTGATGCAGGCGGTAATTTGACCACAACACGTGTGGTACAAACTCCTATGTTTATCTTTTCGTATGAGTACCACCCTTTTCTATTTCTTGAATGATTTACTCCGTAGTAAATTACTTAAATACCCGCATCCTCCAGAATCGGGTAGGGTTCGAGGGACGGTATTGATTTTGGTTTCGGGTTAATATTTTCGTTCATATTAAGGAGTAAAGAAATCATTCAAAATAAAATAAAATATAAATTTTATCTTCAAAACAATAATGATATTTTTATTACCATAGTAAGAGTTTGTACTGTACAATATGAGACTAGATTAAAAGTGTTTCACAATGTTTTTTGCTACATAATATCATATATTGGCATTTTATGTATTGTAAGTCATATTCGAAAAACTTGGATATCATATTTAATAATTTGTCTATGTTTTACTTTTAATTTAGTCTTTTATTTGTAGCATGGTAATATTTTGATTATAAATATTGTGAAATAATTTTAAAATAAATCTCTAAATACGGAGTAATTGAAATAAAAAATGCTTCACACAAAACTTATCAATACAAATGAACTTTGCAAATTAAACGGCTTAAATCTTAATGTTCTTGGTGTTGAAGAAATCGAATATAACACGCATTAATTTAGAAAAGATGCGGTCGCGTCTCTCATCTAAAACTCGCGTCTAATCGCACGATTTTTAGAAGGTGCATATTTTTGAAAAAGAACCCTTAAACAAAGTCTAAAAATTAAAAATTCAAAATGAATTTTTAAAACAACATGATTTTCGACCCGAGACCCTCGCCAAGGGGCACACTGCCCCCTTGGAACCACCATTAGAACAAGACTTTTATCATAATAATTTTAACGAAGCGTGTATTCTACACTATCAACTTCTTTAATGATTATTATGGAATCATTGATCAAATAGTTATTCTAATTATACTAAAAATATACTCCTTCTGTCCCAAAAAGTTTGTTACGTTTAGAAAAAACTGCGTCCCGTAAAGTCCGTTACATTTCTATTAAAAAACTACTTTTACCCCTTACTTTTTCATACCCTACCTATCACATCATACTTTTTCTCTAATAATCTATCCATCACATCTTACTTTTACCCATCATATCAATGGTATTTTTGGAAAGTCAATACCAAAATATCCTTCTTTTAATTTCCCAAAAAGTCAAACTGTTCCATTCTTTTTGAGAGTATAATACTTGGCTTAAAGAACCCTTCGAGCCGTGTGTTCTCTTTCAAAGTTAAAATATCATGACACTCGAGTACGAAGTTACGAACTCTTAAGTCTAAATTCTAAACAGTTACCCACCGTTTGCTAAAACAAGGGGCGTGGGTGAATGAAGAAAAGTTGGCTTTTAGAATCTAGAAGCCACCCTTGCCTAACTGGTCTGTTAAAGACTTTGACAAAATTTTCCTAGGTGGTGTGATTTATTATATTGTAATAACGAAAATCTTATTAACCATTCCTCCCTCCCAAATTCATTTTGCACATTTCTTTTTGGATTATTAAAAAATATACTTTTCATTCCTTTTTTAAAAAATAAAATAAATGATTCGTAATAATTTTTTATCTTCCATAAACCTCAACCAAATAATTTATTTTTTTAAAATTACGTAAAAAAAGCAAACGAGAATTTAGAGAGTAATTATTAAAATTTATCAAAAAGAAAAGGAAAATTATGAGTAATTCATTCATTTCTTTATACTCCGTAACAAAAAAGGATTTACAGAATATTTTCATATCTGTATATATGATCGTAAAATACCAAAATTGTTATGTGACCTTACCATTTTGACACTATCATTGACCTAAAATTTTGTGCGCACAAGCACAGATAATAGATGTTGACATTGTACCAACAATTAGTATTTGTGTGTCTTTGTGTAAAATATATAGAATCAATCATGGTATCAAAAGCGTAGAGTTACCTTAGCACAACTCGGAAAATATTATGGAGTACCTTCGGGCACAATACATTCATCCCATTTGACTTTTATAAGTCAACAAGGTAAATTTTGAGATTAATTAAATAAAAATTATGATGTATATTAATATAAAAAAATTAGATTTATTTTGTTAGAATGTTTAAAATTTTATTCGATTGTATTAAAATGTAATATAAATTAAGACTGATTAATAATTAAAACATATAGAGTATTTAATTTAATTCAAAATAAACAAACTAGACAAAAACACTTTCAAATTTTACGGAGTAAAATAAAAGAGTAAATTCCATAATTGGTCCTTTATAACATGGGGGTTTCCATATTTAGTCCTTTATTATCAAATATTACCCTTGTAGTCTTTTTTTAAAGGTACATTTCTACAAATGGTCCTTTTTTTGATCTTCTGCCGTGTTGGTGTTAATTTAAAGACTAAAAGTATAATTTGACATCAACATTATGTCTAGTGACGTGTTCTGATATTGGTTAAGCGGATAACACAAAAATAATGACTATGATTGTGGGCTAGGATTCTGACGAAAGATCACATTTGTAGACTATCGTTGTCGTAAAAAGCGACTGTAATTCACAAACGACACAAACGGAATAGCCTTTGGAATTGTATATAACAAAAAAGATATATTATCATTGTGAAATTACACTTTTAGCCCTCAAATTAACACCAACATGATAGAAGATCAAAAAAGGACTATTTGTGTAAAGGTACCCATAAAAGAAGGACCACTTGGATAATATTTGATAATAGAGGACTAAATTGGAAAACCCTTATATTATAAAGGACCAATTATAGAATTTACTCAACATAACAAATAAGATGAAGGCTGAGTCAGTTTTTTCGAGTCTAGCCGACAACGCGTCCCGTTTTTCTCAAATCAAGCTCGTTCTTATCCTTCTTTATCTTGATCACGCTTACCTAATTTGTTAATATGATTTATTTTAATTTTTTTATTTAAAATAATTGGTCTTGCTGCTACTATAAAACCCATATTCTTCCCTAATCCTCGATCGAAATCATCATTCAAATTCCCAGAGAAGTAATTACAGACGTTAATTGAGGATGAAAGGGAAGGGCGGGCAGAACAGATTCCTGCGGATTCTGGCGCTTCCGCTGAGATGTCTGACGAGGACGAGGGACTGCTACGTGAGCGGCATGACCAATTACGCCGTCGCCAGTCTTCCCAAGCCGCCGCGAGTTCAGAGGAGCTACAGCGCCAGCTCGTACGGATCGAGCGACAGCGAGGACTTCCGGGAGCTTCTGAAGGCGGCGTCCACGCGCGGCATGGAGAGCCGGATGGAGCTGGAGAGGCTGATGCAGATCTACGTGAGGCAGCAGCAACAGTCCGCCGCCGCGCAGAGGGTGCCGAGGAGCAGCAGCGTGGCGGCGATGGGGAGGATCGACGAGGAGAGCGGCCCGGGGGAGGAAGACGACTCGGTCAAGTATCCGAGGAGCAAAAGCTACGCCGTCCCCAACAAGCGGAGTGCCGTTCATGGATTTTGATCTTCAATTCTCACACGGGAATTGAAGATTCATTTAATCAGAGCTTTGATTTGATTTGATTTTGTGTGTAATTGTATAGATTTCTGCAGTGATCGATCTCGGGTCGGGTCGCTCCTGATTCTGCGCATGGGTGTGCCGGCGGCCGGGCCGGTTCAAGTTGGACAACACCGTGCCGTTTCAGGTTTGATCTGTGCCCTAATTTCTACTAGTACTGTTGAAGATGCCCTGTAATCGATCGGATTATTCATTTCAAAATAATGGTTTTGCTTTCCATTCAATTGTTGCTAGCTTCTGGTGTATCCCGGCGACCCAAAAATCCGGAATTTTAGTTGGCTCTCTCTCTTCACCCTCATGGCGGACAAGGGCTTCGTTCGATTCCAAACAATAAGCTGGATAGAGTTGAATTGGATCCCAAATGTGATCTACAAAAAGGATGGCCATGCTTAGGTTCCTGCCTATTAAGACAAATCTAACTTTCTCTTAATTGTCAACCCACACACACCTAAGTTCTTATTATTACGCGTTACGAGGCTTGACCGATTTTATTTTCAATTCAATTTAATTGATTATAAGAGTAAAATTTTAAAATAAAATTTATATAGTAATAAACTACATAAAAAGTTTTACAAAATTAGAGGTGACAAAACTATATTATTTTACGAAATGACTAGTAAAAATGAGCAAACAAAGTGAGTAAAGTTTGACTCTGTGAATAGTGTCTGGGAAGATGTATGATGGACAGTGGGAGTACTATGTAATACTCCTGTTATAGTACCTCTTATTTCCTTTTTGGAACGTCCCAAAAAAATACTACCTCCGTCCCACTCTCTTTGTCCACATTTGACTTTTGGAACTGTTCATCTAAGCACTTTGACTCATCAAATTCTCTCAATGTGTAAGCCTAAATATAGTCATGTGTGATGTTGTTTGATTTGTCTTAACATATAGATTATTAATATATAATTTCTATAATTTTTTAATATACAAATTATAAGATAAAATGGATTAAAGAAGTGCATTGGATGGTGTGCCAAAAGGTAAGTGGACAAAGAGAGTGGGACGGAGGGAGTACTATTTCAATCTTTCTTTTTCATGAGAAACTTTTAGTAGTTCACAATATTTTTCTCTCATTTGTATCACTTTCAATCATAAATCTTTGTTATCCTTAAACTTTTTGTCATGGCAAACTGTGAATTTATTGAGCTGATCATGATTATCAACTTTAGTCTATTTTGATTGCAAAAAGTAAAACTGAACTTGAACACTACCACAAAACGACTATTGTATATAATTCTTCATTCACTATGTAATACCCTGATTTGAAAAATAAATGGATTGAAGAAAGAAAAAGCTTAAAAGGAGTGATAGCACTACTCATATCAACAAGGTGCATCTTTCTTTCGAAAGCTCATCATCTAGAAACTGCATAATTAGTTTTAGAATAGGTGACCTCTTGAGAAATTCCTAAAGCATATTTAGAGAGATTCCCACTTTGTTCGGTTTGAATGGTTATGAAGAGTTGTTTGCACATTTATGTGATCACTACTAATTTGCTCGTTGGCATCTATGTGAACTATTGAAAAATAATTTTTGTAGGAAGTTTATAATTTTTATGTTGGATACATGACTCTTGGATAATCCAACTTTGAAGGGGGTGTTGCTGTGGGGAGTAATACCAATAGGTGGATATGGAATGCACTTATTTTTGGAAGTGTATCAAATCATATTTGGTACTCTGTACTTATTGCAAGGTATGAGTGTATATTAGAAAGTACTTAGTTTTTTAGTAACATTTCTTTCTTTGTATAGTTTTACTTGGTTTGGAACTCTCGCTCCACTATTCATAAATAAAATAAGCTATTTTTTTGAGAACACAAAAAAAAGAAGTTTGAAGTCAGAAATCGTAATTCGTAAGCTTAGAGTTTAAATTAAGTTTAGAGTCCGAATCGTAATTCTTAAGCCTCAAGTTTAGAATAATTAAATCAAGGAGGAAAGAAAAATACGTATCAATTGACTAATAAATTAAAAAATAATTTATGAACAATTCCGACTACATTATATCTATAGAGAAGCACCCATTTATTATCTACTAGACATAGACAACAAATATCAATATTTACTTATGGTATGTAAAGTAGGATCCATGAAAAATGATGCCATCGACGAGCCTTTAGCGTTGACATTTTTGAGTTAATCAACATTATTAAAATCTTATCCGAAATGATAACGTTAATCGAAAATACTATTTCTAAACAAGGTCTTAGTCCATGCGCATAGAGTTTTGAGCAAGGTATGAATATGGGTACGCCATCTTTTCAGATTGGAGAGAAAATAAAAAACAAGTAGTGAATGATGAGATGTGTAATTGTGCATAATTAGTGAGGTACAAAATGGTAAAGTGTGAGTACCTCTCTTTAAAAAAAACTGTGAATACCTATATTATATATACAGATGTACAGTACTTCTCGTACATCTGCATGAATATTCATTGTCAAGTAACTAAATATTCATTTTCGAATAACTAAATGCTCATTTCCAAGCATAACTGAATTTATTTTAAAGAAATGAACATTCCTTTATTCTAGAGAAAGATTATTCACTACCTTCGAAACAAGCTCTCAATTACTCTTAAATAATCATGGACAACCTACGGTATATATTGAGGTAAAGTAAAGTGTAAGCACAAAAAAGCAATTGATTCCTAACTACTCCGCAGCAAGTGACATCCGATCAGGCCAGCCGGAAATGGTTGAATTCTCTCTAGCTACTGCGGCGAATTTCATTGACGAGGACGACGAGCTCGACGAAGAGCCCGGGGAAGTGGTCGAGTCGGCGCCACCGCTGAAGGAGGGCGAGGAGAGAGAAATCAGGTGCAGCGACGGCACTAGCCTCAAGAAGAAGCTTCTCAAGCTTGGCCACGGCTTGGAGACTCCTGAGTTCGGCGATGAAGTCACTGGTACTCCCGATTTATTTCTGCTAGTGATATTCGTATGTTCCCTTCGTCTTCTCTCACAATGTCTGCCGTTGAGTAATTTGCAGTTCACTATGTGGGATTTTTACTTGATGGAACCAAATTTGTCTCAACCCGGGGAGAAGATCAGCCCTTCACTTTCAAGCTTGGCAAAGGTATGTTCTACTTGTATCTATAACCTTTGTGGTGGGTTTCCTCTCTTTTTAGTCCGAGTTTATTTCACGTTTACCAATGTTATCACTGCCAATTTTGAATTTTTTTCTCTGAATTATCATTCCATTAAAGTTGAGACAGTTGTTGGGTAGGGCTACTTGTTTCTGGCTTGGATCATGGGATTATGACAATGACCAGAGGTGAAACTGCATTGTTCACTTTGCCCCCCGAACTGGCGTATGGAGTAAAAGGCACAGATGGTGTTCCTCCAAATGCTGCAACGCTGTTCGAAATAGAACTCGTATCATGGATCACAGTTGTAGATGTCTGCAAGGATGGTGGCATTCTCAAGAGGATTATGGCAAAGGGGGACCAGACTGGTCCTCCTGGCGAACTAGATGAAGTTTTAGGTACTCAACACACTCCTTCCTTCAATTCGTATAGAGAGTTCTTTCTTATGAGTTATCTGACAGTCCTTAACATTATCTCCATATTGAGTTGTAGTAATTCGTAAATGCAATCTTACTAGTTCTACTTATGTGACAGTAAGGTACTCAGCAACTACGACTGATGGTGCAATTGTTTCAAAAACAGCTGAGGAGGGAGTAGAATTTTACGTTAGAGATGGTACCTTGATATTTTAGTTTTAAGAAAAAACGTAAATGTTTGGCTACTTGTTTTTATCCAGGCATATTGTGCTCTTTTACAACCCATATGTTTGCTTCTGTTTAGGTCATTTTTGTCAAGCGATACCTAAAGCAATCAAGACAATGAAAAGGGGAGAGAAAGTGAATTTAATTGTCCAGCATCAATGTATGCTCACTCGGTCACTCCCTATCTTTTGTTACTTTACTTGATAGTAGCTTCAGAAATAATTTGTTGTGAATAATGTTGTGCAAGTAGCTGATGAGCGACTAGCCCTTCGAAAATGAGAAAAACATTGTGATGGCTTATGAGACAGTTCTCATCAAATACTTAATTCAAATGACTACACATTCAAGGAATTGTATAAAATCTGAATATATTATTCTAATGTAGGTATAGTACTTATATACGATTGTATTTCATTTGCATGTGGGTTTTACAATATCAATCATGGATTGACCAATAACAACTAACATGACTCATATCTGCCTCATTAGATTTTCCATGGTGATAATCGATTGATAGTTATTCTAAATGGTGACAATGGATTGATAGTTTTAGAACTTCATCTCGTGAATCACTTGTTAGAACTTAGAAGGCCACATCACAGAGGGCATCTGTCCTAAAACATTATCGCTTCGCTTATTTGAGTGAAGTTAACTAATTTTAGACAATAATTTAGCATCATGAAATTGACAATACCACTTACACAACTAGTTGAGATGAAAGTGATAACGACGACGATGATCTTTGGGATATTGGCTAAGATAATATCTGGCTCAAGAAAAGGCCCAATCTTGATTCTTGAATAAGAATGATGGACTTGGGAGCCTGGTGCCGCAGTCTGAGGATCAGTCGAAGCATGACAAGCCAGCTCGGCTACCGGTTTGAGACCAATGCTCGAGTCAAGCATAAAAATAGATCGCTTATGTCCTGAGGTTTCACTTGTAGGGGATGACAGTCATACTATTTCACTGCCATTCACTAGTGGACAAAGCACGGACCACTTGTACCTAGGTGTATGATGAGGCATATCACACGTCTTTTTGCACCCATACCACCTCGCAGACACAGAATGTCAAAGTATTGTTCCAATGAGAGTACGACATGTGACAAGACCGATAGATCTCCAAGCCTATAAATACCTGCAGGCTGCATCGTTCCCCAGAAATGAGATTGGATTTTGGAGAATTCTTGAGAGCAGTTACACTGTTCCAATCCTACCTCTGTAACATACTTAGAATGTAATTTCCAGAGTGTTGAGTGCACCTATGCATTGCCTTGGGGCACTTGTAAGCTGTAATCATTACAAATTTACAATTGGTCTATGTTGATATATAGAGCTGTTGGGTCATTTGCTCTTCTGTCCTTCCCCACTGTCCCCATATTTTCAAACTTAATCGCAACCCCATGATTCCCATCTCCAGCCCAAAGGTTGGGTTGGACCTTTAGGCCATCCCAGAAGTATAAACTATAACAATGATGATGATGATGATGTCTTATCCTTCATTAGTAATACAAAAATGGAGTGGTCATAAAGGCATCTAGTTGGCTCAATGCCTATAATCTGGACTAGATGTAATTTTGCCTAGGGGTGTCTAGTGCCTAGGTGGCTGGATATGGCAATCTTTACAATTAAGAACAGTCTTATGCTAATCTATCCTTTGTATTTTATTTTGAACCCATAAGCTTCATTTCATTATTAATGAGGTCAAATATTTGATTTTTTGGCGGTTGGATTGAGTATGTGTAACAATGGTGCTTGTAATAATGCATGTAGACTCTTCAAAGATATAACAAAATAGGATATTGTGCTTGCTCTTTATGCATTGCTATTCTGCTGCAACTAGCTATGCTAATCACAAAAGAACACTCACACTGAAGCATGGCAATATTTGTTTGGCTTATTCTGGACAATGATTGGTTTTCTTTGACTTTGACGGAAACTACATATTACATTTATTAATTTTGACTTGGGATTCATGCACATGTGCTCTAGAGGACCTTCTACCCTTCTCCATCCAGTGTTATCATAAGTCCTTAGACTCCTTACATAGCTTGCTCATTTCAGGATGTCTATCTGCTCTATGTGCTGTGTGAATGTGTGTGTGCGTGTGTGTTCACGTGTGCAAACATGTAGAAATCATTCTACTGGTTTCATCCTACTTCAATTTCAGGACTTGTTTTCCTCCTCATAATTTTGACCGTCTCCAGCAGAGTGTTTACACACTTGACACTACACGTGCTAACATCATTTAAATTTGAAGTGTTAGTCACATTTCTTATAATTTTACATTTCTTCAGATGCCTTTAGCGATGGGGTTAAGAATTCTACCTTCAGCTCCCCTTTGGTTCCCTCTGGGTCTGAACTAAGTATTGATTTGGAGTTGGTATCCTTCAAGCCTGTGATTGATGTGACCGGTAATTTTGGAGTTTTAAAAAAGATTTTGAAAGAGGGGGAAGGAACACACACGGCAAATGAAAGCACCGCTGTTAGTAGTAAGTGTTTTGCATTTCTACCGTGTTTTCATCTCTTAATAAATGCAAATGGCCCAAGGCAGTTCCGTGAGAAAAATATCATTATATTGGAAATTCTCACAGTTCACTGAATACAATATAAGTACTAATTATTACTTAATGCAAAACAGTTCACTGACATGTTTTGATCAAATATCATTGGAATTATTATCAGTATTGAAATACGGAGTACAATATAAGAATGTAGACCTTCACTCTTGTATAATGCAAACCCTTTAGTTTTTCCCATGGGCATACTATGAAATCAATTCAGAAATTGTAATTCATCAAGGCTCTATTCCAACTTTTGACAAAATGTTCTTCTTATGAGCTTGTACTGTAGTTCTGCTTCTTTGAAACCCTCATACTTCTCAGTTGTAAATGTCCAGTTAGGTATTTAGCTAAGCTTGAGGATGGCACTTTATTCGAGAAAAAAGGGCTAGATGGAGAGAAGCCCTGGGACTTTACAACAGATGAAGGTGTGTCCGTGTGTGTGTGTGTACCGTCACACACACACAAGATGAGCTATTTTACTGTCTTCTTAGAGAATGCATTTCAAATGAACAAACTGTAATACAAAAAATATATCCCAATCTGCCCTTCTATGAAAATAAAAAGAAGAGGCTTTGATGTGTCACACCTGCTAAGCAGAACAAAGACCTTCCAAACCCGCAATAGAGGTAATGGTATCAATTGCTTTTATTACGAGGCTTGCTGAATAAGGCAAATAATGTATTGGCCTATGAAAGGTTTTTATAACGCCTTGCCTGAGCAGTTATTAGACATGTAATCTGCTATGTTTTTTTTAAATATTTCTTTGTTATTTATACTTTTATTGTAGAACAAGTTGTAACTGGGTTAGACCGGGCTGTAAGTACAATGAAGAAGGGTGAGCATGCAATTGTGACAGTAAAGCCGGAGTATGGGTTTGGAAGCAATGCAGTGAAGTGCGACCTCACAACAGTTCCTCCTTGCTCAACCCTTATATATGAAGTAGAAATGCTAGAATTCGCAAGGGTAGTCTTCTTTATCAGTAGTCAGTAGAGAGTGACAAATACTTGCATGCACCTAAGGTGCACATACTTACAGAGGTGCATTCTTGCTGCTTAGGTTTTGACTGAATTCAAAACAATCTTTTGATTGTAGGAGAAGGATCCTTGGGAAATGAGTATTCACGAGAGAATAGAAATAGCCAGCAGAAAGAAAGAAGACGGAAATGCACTCTTCAAACATGGAAAGTATCAAAGAGCATTAAAAACATATGCTAAGGTACTGAAAATATCTTTGTAGGCATTTAATTTCATGTGGCACACGTCATTTTTCCATTGTTGATTAAAATGTGCCAAATGTTTATCTAGGCCGTGGACTATGTCAGCGAGGGTAGTCCCTTTGAAGTTGATGATCAGAAGCTCATCAAATCACTGCAAGTATCATGCTGGTTGAACGGTGCTGCTTGTTCTCTCAAATTAGATAATTTTCAGGAAGCAATCAAGCAATGTTCTATGGTACAAGTATTCAGCATTCCTTTTCTACTCAACCAAAAAAGCATAATTTCGAAGGGACAATATCCCTTGTTTCTTATTGAAGTTTGGGGAAGTAATCTTTACAGCACTGGAGAAAGTCTGACAGGATTCCTTCATGTGACCACTAGGTCCTTAATATTGAACCCTCAAATGTAAAAGCACTATACAGAAGAGCTCAAGCTTATATGAAAACAAATGATCTGCACTTAGCCGAAATGGACATCAAGAAATCCCTGGAAATCGATCCTGAGAATAGGTAATGCAAGTATCCTTAGCTAAAGATTGTTTCTTTTCTTTTTCGCAAAAAAAGAAATGAAATACCATCTTTTTTGGGTAATTGGGCTTATTACGAGTGAATATCTTTAATTAATACTGCATTCTTGAGCGTATGCAATTCACAGGGAGGTGAAGTTACTGCAGAAGAATTTAAAACAACTTCAAGTTGAGAGCGACAAGAGAGATGCAAATCTCTACACAACCATGTTTGCACGCATGCTGAATGAAAATTCTCCAGATAAAAAGGTCAGCTTTTTCTATTCGTGTGGATGAAAAATTGATGTACAACAGTGTCAAATAATTTAAGACACTACAATTTTGACACCAAACTTTACCCTCGGCCTCATATGAAATAAACAGAACCTAAACTTTACCTCTTTACCCATCAGTATGGGTGTAAACGGATGTTAATCAGATCGGATGTGTCATTGCCAAATCCGTATCCATTTATTTTTAAGGGATATCAAATTCGGATACGGATTTTGATGTATGCTAAAAATCAAAACCGTATCTGCATCCGTTTCTAAATTTTCAAAGTCAAATTAAACTATATACACAGTATTATATATAAATACTTTTAATATATTCGTTCAATTATAATTTGTTACGGAGTGGTACTTTTCTTATTTTTTATAATCTATACTATTCTACGAAAAATTCATGTAGTGTAAAAAGTATTACATACTACACATACACACGTATTTGTGCGTCTACACATATATTTTAGAAATAAAGATGTCTTATACTCTTAGATGTTAATAGAAAAATAAAATATAAAAATAAAAATGAAAGTTTAGGAAAAACTATATATAAACGAATCGGATAAATGAACAAATGGTTACTCAAACAGATGTATATGCGTAGCGGATAATAAACGGATCGGATGTATGATTACCAAATCTGTATCCGTTTACCAATCGGATGTCCTTAATCGGATAAAGATAATAACCGCTTTAAACGGATGCAAATATTTTCTGTGTAAAAGGGTACGGATGCAAACGGTAATCGAGTTTTCGATCATCCATTTACAGCCCTACACATCAGTGCATCCTTTTCACTCAAATGCAAACGAACCCACATTGGACGTATTTGAGACAAAGTGTGGCACCTCAAAATGAAGCATCTAAGAGTTGCGTTGTATAAACAGTAGATGCACTAAAACCACTGCTATTTTTCCAAGGGATGAGCCCCATCCCCGAGGGTGTCCTTAGACCTGGCCGGACGGTCATTGAGAGAGATAAATTAGACTTTAGTTGCAAATTAGTGGCAGAAAGTGGAGTTTGCAGCTGGTACTTGCAGAGGCTCTATGCTTAGCATAGTCGTCTCCCAGCACAGTTGCTAGGTATCGAACTTGGGTCTACCCCTTGGCACTCCCACTCCCTTTCTTTGCCAACTGCACAACGCTCACCAGCACATTACCATTTTTCCAAGCTTTTGCAGATGGGAATTAGAGCACATCTATTAGACACATTATAATAGTGAGCCAATTGCTCAGTAGCAATCAATTTAGTTATTGGATGATAATTAAGCAACTTCTGTTTGCAATTTTTCTTCCAATGGTCAGAGATTAAAAGCAGGGACAAAGGAGGACAAAACCGATGAAGAAGCTATGGCAATGGAAGTGGACAAGGATGGTGTAAAGTCAAATTCAACCGTTCCCAGGGAGGAATAGAATGATGTTTTATAGTGGGTGCCACTTTGTGTGTGTACACATTATTTGATACTCCGTATATGTTTTGGTATGGGAATGGAGTCTGGTTACATAAAAGTATTTTGATTTTATGTGGTTCTGTGACAGGTCACATGGCGCAGCAAGGAAAGGGGAACTCCCCCNCGGCTTTTTTTTTTTGCTTCCTCGCTCATCCTTCTTTTTTTTCTTACTCTTATCTCTTTTTTGTTGCTTCTTTTTCTTGTGTTATTTTTAGTTTTTGATTGTTTTAGTTTAATTTTTTTAACTTAAATTATGTTTTAAAAAAATATTAATGAACAATATATTTTTCGTTTAAAAATGTATTGTTTTATGCACTATTATTATATTTCTTAATCGCATTGCTATTATAATTATTATTTAAATTTTATATTTTAATAAAATGTTCAATTATTTTATAATTTTAATGTTTTTAGCTTATTTATTTGAATTAAAATAAGTGTTACAAAATAAAAGTAAAAAAGTGATAGGAATATCTATGGTGCTCTATTTGTATAATTAATTGTTCCTCTCAGAATCTCCTCCGCCCACCCTAGCTGCCTCTGCCCCATCCTAAAAAAGTTGATTTTGCATGCCTAAGGTGTTGGGGATGTAATATGAATAAGTAAATACTTTGGGCTTTGAAATTGTATCCGAAGTAATTAGAATGCAAGACTAAGATGTTAAGTACTACGTATGAAATAAATGTGATATATCAACTAACTAGAAGTGTTAATTAGGTTTAAAGACTATTTAAAAAAATTCTAAGAATGACTTTCATGAAAAATATTTTACATGAATTCAAAAATAAGACTCGTTTATTTTACAGAGACAACAAACATACTTAAGAGCCTGTTTGGGATTAGCTTTAGCGATTAGCGTTAGTGTTTTGAAAAGGCTATCTACGAGCAGCGTTTAGTGTTAGCGTTTTCAAAATAATCTGCACCGTTAAAATTTTATCCAAAACGCTGACGCTAATCTCTAACGCTATTCCCAAACAGGCCCTAACTCAATTTCATATCAAATACTTTCATGTGTTCGGCAACTGAAGTATTATATGAAAGACTAGTAATTTTAATTTTTATATCTTTGATGGAGCTAAAGATTCACTATCTATTGGTTTTGAATATGATATAATAAAGTAAAATAGTTCTTAAATTGTTTTTGTTTTTTTCAGTAGTGAAGTAACACTTAGGGTGACGTATTCAATTAGGATTTTATTAGTTTTTTTTAGATATCAAAAAGTTAGTGAATTTGAAAAATCTGTAGAATCCATGTAGAGTTTGTTTAATTTTTTTTTGTAGAATCTATGTAGAGTTTGAAAAATATGTAGAATCCAAACATCACTTCTGTTCGAAAGTCCAACAGTGATGCCGATCACCCTACAACCACAGTAGGAAACGAACAACGCCGGTGGATGACGGGGCGAAGCACGTGGGCGGGCGGACGAAAAACTCGCGAAGGGACGGACGGACGCTGGAGGATGGACGGACAGGCGCTAGAGGACGGATGGATGGACGGACGCTGGATGACGAATGGATAGAAGTTCATAGAAATCTAGGATTGTGAGAAGAGATTTCCATGAGTGAAAATGTAAGTTTTTTTTTAGAGAAAATCTAACAAAATCTATAGATTATTAAAATTCATAGACTCTTGAATACTTCAAAATTTTTAAAAACTTTTGAAAATCCAAGTTGAATACTTCAATATTTTTAAGGACTTTGGAAAATCACTATTGAATACCTCAAGATTTTTAACGACTTTTAAAAATCCACTCAAATTTTAAAAAATCCAAAAAAACCTTACAGACTCCCGGTTCAACACCCCCTTTAGTCAATTAATTTTTGACGATCATTAAAGGTAATCTAGACACTATTTTTGAAACAAAGGTATTAGACTGCATATAGTTTTATGACTATATGAGAAGTGGAAATTATATATAGTTTAATGACTTATGAGAAGTGAAACTGTCTCGAATTTTTGTCCCAAAATAGTAGAGCTCCGGTACTTTGAGTTGTTTTCTGAACCGAGCAAAAAGTCCACTTGACCCGGCTCACTTTCTCTCTTATGCGGCGAGTATTTTATATTTTTATTTCTAACTTCAAACATTGATAAGAGTAAAAAATTATGAAAAAGAAATTTTCTTAGATAAGACTAAAAAATTATAAAAATATTAAAATAGGAGTATTAAGTCGTTTAAGACCAAAATATGAGTGTAATGGCAATATAGTGTAAGAGTACATGTTGGCGATTTATAGATCATTGAGACAATGTGATATATAAGAGGGTGTTTGTGAGTGTGGTGAGTTATATAAAAGTAGAAGTCATAATTTAGAAGCAGAAAACATGTATTTTTAGCTTTGCTAGAAAGCACCTCTAGATCTTAATTTTAACTTCTAAAGCCATAATTTATTCGTTAAAGCAGATCAGCAAACATTTAAAATTGTGTTTTAGTGTGATCAATCAATTGTCGGTGATCCACGACGACACTGTGGTAGACGGCGATGACGAATGCCAGTGGCAGTAAATGTGTGGTAGTTAAAATGTGACAATGTGGTGAGTATGACAGTTAATGACAGTGTGAAATCTTATTTTGATCTTAAAAGATTTATGACTCCTTTTTTTGGGTTTTTCATAATTTTTACTCTTATCTAGAAATTTTTCCCTAATTTAAAACTTGTTTAATTCTATACTAATCCCGAATATTAAGAGATAAAGGGGATATGTTTGTGACAAGACACAGGATGATATGAAATTGAAATCGTCTCAATTCCTCCCACTCCTACTTCAAATTAAAATAAAATCTAAGTAAATATAATTTGCAGAGATAAAAGGAAAATAGCATAGACTATTCAATTTCTTTGAAAAGAAAGTAAGATATAATATTTAAAACAATATAATAGAGAAATAAGAGAATAATTATTGATGAAATTTCGGAATGATTTTGTTTTGTTTTTCTTTCAATCTTCTAGACTCCTTTTTGAAAACTAATCTTCTTTACTTTGACAAATGACAATGACATTTCACAAGTTGCGGAGAACGTGACATTCAGAGAAGGAAAATTCATTGTCACTTTGTGGTTTGAAGGACTATTAGTCTGTCCGTCCCACAATTATTTCTCGAGACTACGTACCCCAAATAGGTACCCCATTTTGTACACCATTCATCTTAGTCCTTTATTTATTTTTTTATTTTTAATTTTTTTTCTCCCTCTTGCTTTGTGTGGTGAAGATGGCGGGGGTACAAATGGGGTACCCCAAATAGTGTACCCCTAACATTTTTTTGTTATTTCTCGTTTGCTATTCTCAATGTTAAATTTTACGGAGTACTAGAATATACTTCATCCATCTCGGAGTATTCATCCACTTTTGACTTTTAGAACTGTTCATCTAAACACTCTGACTCATCAAATTTTCTCATGTGTAAGCCTAAATATAGTCATGTGATCTTGTTTGATTTATCTTAATATATAAATTAGTAATATGGAGTATATAATTTTTATAATATACAAATTACAAGATAAAATGGATTAAAGAAGTGTATTGGATGGTGTGTAAAAATGAAAGTGAACAAATACTCTAGGACGGAGGTAGTAGTTTGCGGTTCTATTTTTATTTCCTATTTGATACTACGTAATATAATATAGTCATGTCACATGTAATTTTGTAGAATTTTTAATGTAGTTTTTAAATACGTAATTTATATTTTTTAATTTCTTATTATTTTTTATATAAAATAATTTGAAAATAATTTCAATCAAAAATCGTAACGCGCAGTAAGAGGATAATTATACTCCCTCCGTCCCAAATTATTTGCCACATTTGTATTCCCGAGGCAAAATATCAAATTTTTTCAATTTATTTTATTTACATATTGATAAAGAAAAAAAAAATAAAATTTACATATAAAAAAACTACATGAAAAGTTCTTCGAAATAAGAGGTGTCAAAAATATTTTATTTTATCAAATAATCAATGAAAACGTCGAAATAAACAAAAGTTTCCGACATTGCTGAAAAAGCAAATGTTGTGAATATTTAGGGACGGGGGAGTATATACCTACCATGTAATCGGCGAAATTACTGGAAGTTGGTGGTTTGAATGATTGTTGATATATGCCTACCCACCATTAAATCGATGCAATTAATGGTACCCCGTAAAAACTTTTTAAAATAAATGTATACTTCTAAATTTGATTTATGAGATAATTTTACATATGTTTAAAAAAAATTATATATAAATTGCTATACCAAAAATGCTACATAATAAGAAGTGAAGATAATATTTTATTTTATTAAATAATCAAATAAAAACATAAATAAACAAATGTATTGAGAGGAGAGAAAAAAAATTGCATTCAAAATTAGGACCGAGGGAGTATAAAAATATTAAAAACTAAACCAAGTGTTTTTTTCGTATTAAACAATGTAACATGAGTATGTTATTATAATAAATGATTAATACTCAATCTTTTTTGAATTTAATTGTCTATTTCGATTTACAACATTTGATATAAATGATTTTAAATTAATCTGATTGAAAATTGGAGTAAAATTAAAAAAAAGTTAAATTTTTAAAAAGTACATAAAAAATTCTACAAAAATATTGCAAACATGACTATGTGTCTATGTTATTAAAGAAAATGAGTTTTTGTAAAGAGATAATTTTCTTGAGACACGTGAAATGAGAAAGAAAAAAAGTGTTCCATCTCCAATAATGCATGTGCTCAGGTTTGGACTTGACATCCTCTGACAATACTCCATTTTCAACTGCAAAATACATTCGCAGTATTTTAATTTTTGATTTTTTTCGGTCAATTTTGATAAAATAATATTTTGAAAATATTTAATATGATAAATCTAATAAAATTATTTTTGTATCGATATTTAATATTTTTTTTAATTTAAAGCCTAAGTATACCAATTTTGACAGAAAAAATCAAAATAGGACAAATACTCATAAACAGAGGAAGTATGTCTTTGTAACTTGGGTACTCTATTTTTTCTTATACGGAGTATATATTTATAACTTTGTAATACAGATATCTTTTAATTAATTTTTTGCTTACATTAATTGTCTTTATAGCTTATTGGTTTTTTATAATTTACAGTAATTTTTAGATTTTCAAAATATAAAA